GAGCCAAGAACACTGATTACATCTGGGTAAAGATACTTTACTGAGATAAACCAACTAAACCAAGCAAGACTAAGGTCAAGTACAGTAAGGCAGAAGTTCTGACACTACTTATTTATGCTGTCTTCCTAACGCAACAAGAATGAATGATTTACGACATGCCCACATTAATTAGACCCTTGATAATATAAGAACAAAAAGGAAAACCTGATAAATTATTATAATGAAAATGCGAAATTTTTGGATGCCTTTCTTTCTTTCCTTCTTTTCTAAAATCAAACCATAGACATTTTATTTTAAACTAAAGCTTCTCTTTTGTTGACACAACAATTTTCATTACAACATTGGGAAGGTGGTTGGCACATGCTGCCTCTTCTCATGCATGCTATAAGTGAGCCAAACTCACAGCACTTGCAGAATTCATGTGGAGCCGCATTTACTGTGATACCAAGCCTCTCAGAGACACTGAAAACACTGGATTAAGAGCTGCTCAGCTCATGTAAATAAAACAGTAAAACACACAGTTCATCAGACTATATATTTAAATCACTGTCTTAAGAAAATATGGAAAATCCCTGGTACACTTCACATACAAGTCAACATGAAAATATGCTCATTTAAAATTACAATAAGTGTTACAATCTGTTCCTGATCATCAGTTCTGCGCAATATCCCTCAGGGTTTCCAGACATACAGATAACAGATCATAAACAATAAAAGCACTACAGCACACACAATACACAGATCTAATCAGCTGTAGCAATGGAATAAATAGTGAACTGACCTTCCGCTAACTATTTAACCTAAAAGTGTAATACACTTCAGGCTATGAACTTATTTTGTTGATCCAAATGAATCCATATAGTAGGGGTTGAACGACTTCAGATTTTTAAAAGTCGACATCAACTAGATGTCATTAATGAACAAATAAGCCTGAACCTGGAGCTGAGACTCGAGCACCTTGTGCACAGCTATGGCATATGACACAGCACTGCCCACATGGCTATTGCTGCTGTAACAGCTCATTTTTATCAGTTCTTTTGTCTTTGGGTCGTTATGTTTCTCACAGATTTCTGCTCGTTCTAAATCAGATATAGATAAAGCAGCACAGTAAAGATGATATTTATATGAATGCATTAGTGAGAGAGCGATTGCTTGTGTGAATTAATTCAACCTGGCAGCGTCTCTCTACTAATAGTGAAGCTGTGGGTTTTAGTTACTAAGAAATATATGCTAGAGCTTTTCAGTTTCTAAGCTATTTTTTTGAGAAATCACAGAACAGTGTTGGCAATACATTTGCCGCGCTAAGTTGCTGAATGATTCTGTGCGTGCGCGATCTGCGAGTGATGTACGAGCTACTGTCTGTAGCCTATGTGTGTGCGTTACAATGCAGCAGCACATTAGATTAGAACGGCGGTTAACTTAACTGTACAATAAGTGGTTTAAAACGTGCATTCTTCCGTTCAATTTCAAGCATCCAGATGGTATAATCACGCATGTCTTGTGGAGCGCTTTCAGAGTATGCATTTATTTGTCATTTTAACTGTTTGGAAACGGAGCGTAAATGTGGACTTCAATGATTTCTTATCCTGTTGCGCCCTCCATAGGACCAGCGTCTAATCGACGTTAGGGCTGTCAAATTTTTTTTAGAATTTTGAATATTCGTCGAATTTAAAATAAAAATCCACATTCGAATGCAAAAACGTTGCATTCGAATTTTAGGTGTGCGTTAAAGAGGCAGCCTTATCAGTGGCACACGAGATGCGATGACGATATAAGTGTCATTGCATTTTAATGGGGCGGGTTTTTTCCCCATTCCACTGCAACTCGTGTTTTTAAATGAAAAATGTGCTCGTTGTGATTTCGGTCCTTTGTATTAAACTATGCATACATACATGATGCTGTTTTGTTTATAGTTGTTTAAGCAACTTAATTATAATTGGTTTATAAACAAAATGTTAAACATTAAGCACTTTGAATAAACGTGCATTAGTAATATTTTGCTCGATGAGCCCTCTTGTGGCCTCAGGAGAGAAGCCAAAAGCTTTTCTTCACCCTAACTGAAATTATGCATTTTAAATTCGAATATAATTCGAATTTTGATCATATTTAAGTAAAAAAATTCTAATTTAGTTTTTCAGCTATTTTGACAGCCCAAGTCGACGTCAAGCTTAAAGAGTCATGGCTGGTACATTATTCCAGAAATTATTCCAAAATCGGGGCTGTGAGCAACAAACTTCCCTATTCTGTAAAACAGGTCACGTCGCTTCCAGTTCAGGTATTTTGGATGTGCTTCGTTAAATATGGAGCCGTTTTACTCAAGATGCCTTCAATAGAAATATTAAAGATGAGCATAATCAATGTCCATCACCTATGCAGACTGAGATGTGAAGGTTTTTTTATTATTATTGTTTTTCTTTTTCTTACCAACATTCAGATATTTAAACTGAATATAGATATCACCATCACTTCATAAAAACGGATGCGATAAGCTACTGTATAATCCAAATGCACATTTATCGATTTGCCCATCAGCAACCCTGTTGCGGCTGTACAAAAGAAGATTTTTAGAGAAAATATATATTATCCACGACACAAAAAGTCCTTTGTTTTGGGGATTTGTTTCAGAAGTTGTGTTGCTGTACAATGACCCAGCTAAGCTGTCTGGGTGTTATACAAGGGAAATAAATGTACCCACAACAGCTGTGCTGACAGATTACAGTGAATAAGACACTGGAAGAGGAACCACCATTACTTCCATTCTGCACTCCAGTCATGATGTAGTCTAAAACACTAACACAATCACAAGCACACAAAACACTGTGCATAAATGTGTCATTTTAATGCAAACTGCCAAATGATAATGTGTTCTGTGAGGAACACAAACTGATTTTTGCTTGCTTTAAATGCTAATCTTGCAAGACACTCAGTTCCACCAAAGCTCTCATGAAAAACAGCTGACCATGGCATGTACTTTTACTAGCTGGTAAATATTTACATCAAAAACAGATACAGCAAGCGAAGCCACTGAACAAAGTTCGTAAGTTCAACTAAGATGTTTGCGGTCAACAATCTAAGGTCAAATAAAACAGATTACTTCCAACTTCTAGTATATCATCCTTTACATCTGAGGTACTGTGTAACACTCACAAAGTTATGTTAAAGTTTAAAAAAAGAAAGTTAACAGTTATTAATCATAATAATAATAACAACAATAATAATAGATGTATCTTGTATCTGTTTACAAATTGCTATTACTGCTAAAATATAACTTGTCTCATGCCAAAACTACAGTGTAGATTTGTAATGCATCAATATAAGACACAAGTGTAAGCTTTTCACTCTAATGCTTTAATTAAAAAAAAAAGCAGAGAGTTCAATCTAATTGCTCCTAAAAGGATTAGACTAGAAATTAGAGGGGGGAAAACATTAAAAATGATACAATTCATGTTATCTTGTCAAAGAGACATAAAAAAATCCATTGGAGAATAATAACAAAATAATACAGCACCAACTAAAATAAATAGGCCTATATATCTATATCTATAACTGTTTCTGTCATTCAGCACTGGAAAAGCTAAAGCATTTCCATTAAATAAATACCCAAATCAAATTCCTCTGTATGCTTCCTATTTTTCTGTGTGCTTTGGTCAGATGTTGCCAGTTGTGATTTATTTTAAGAGTCATGACGTTTAAGGCATAATTTATATTCGACTGGGCAAGCGCTCAGACTTGATTCTCTCAGCAGTCATAAACTCATGCCTAGGCAAAGCTTCTGTGATAGCTTAGATGTAGCACACAAAATCAAACAGCTCATTTATATCCGGTATATGAACAGTAGCAAACAAGGTCCAAATACAGACAAAACATCCACTGACATCCTGAAGTATCTCTAATGGACATTCAGTTGTGTAACGCAGCAATACAATACAACTCAGTGACTACAATCTTAATTGTGGCTCTAAAAAACACAACTACAAAAAAAAAAAATTAGGTGAAAGTGTCTTCATATCACTTCATGCAGAGGTTTACAATGGTTTATGCTCATCCCATTAGTTTACACCAATTCCTCTCTGAGAGAGCATGTGCAATGTGACCCAAAAGATATGGTTTCTTATGTTACCCAGATGCTCCTGAATACTTCTGCCTTTAGACTGATATAAATACTGAAGCGATGTGCTCAAATATAACATTGTATTGATTAATTGCCTCTGTAGCCAAAAGAGCGCAGGGATGTGTGGGCAAGTGCGATCCAAGATAAGGGGTGTAGTGGGAACACTGAGTACAGGCACAGACTGTGCCTCTTATGCATTTTTCAATAAAAGCAAAATTCAAACCTTGATCACAAAGTCTGTTAAGAGACATCCGACGTTTGCCTTGCAGCTCCTTAAATATCCCTGAATAAATATAATCATTAAGGTGCACGCTCATGTAACTCCAGCACTCACCCATATCTTCTCACATGCAAATATGACCTTTGGCCTTGCCGGCCTCATCAAATTTTTAAATCACTCATATAGAAACATGTAACAGTCCTCATCCATGAATAATCATTATAATAAAAAAAATAAGAGCTACCAGTAGAGGGGGTTTACATGCAACATATAAAACATGCATGCATGCATGAGCAGCAGCAGCCAGCAAAATGTTATTGGTCAATATTATTGGCACTAACAGTAGTTTAATGCATTACTAGTGTGTTTTCTCAACTCCACCGAACAGGTCTTAATGTTGGGGACTCGTAAGACCAGTTACTGAGGAAATAAACTGCAAAATCCTGGCAGCAAACGCTGCTCCTATATGGTGCATGCTCGGATTATATTCAGATGGTATTATGTAGCTATTTTACGAGAAACCAGTGAATTCGATCTCAATGCGGAGTAACACGAGAAACAGCCTCCGGTGGCACATACATACACACAAAAAGAGACATGTCATGATACAAATGTACACTCTGTACATGCTTATTGCATTTAAAGGGGTCAAAGCTTATTAACACCCACCTGAGGAGCAGGAAATGAGGAACACTCCAAAAGCCAACTTTGTTGCAGGTCCCATTTTTCAATCTTCTGTCTTGCCCTACAAAATCCAAAAGTCTTTGCATTCAAGTTTCTCCTCGAACCACTGATCAGCAGTCAGTGAAACACATCCATGTCACCGAGTCAGTGATATATGGCAGTGCAAAAATCCAATGCCAGTTTATAGTCCTCAAATTCAGCGATTTAGAAACGGCATTAAAGTGTCCACTGGTGATAGTTCATTCAAAGCAGACAAGCTTTTAGAAATAAAGTGATCTATGACTGTCCATGCAGTTTGTTTTAAAACTCATATCAATAACGAGGAAATTCCAATGCGTACGAATACTGTATCTATACAAATGTTGCCCTGCCGCGCGCTCAGAATAAACGAGCTCGTTCAATAAACTCGTTCAGTAAATGGGCCAGCTCCCAAACCCAGTGATCAGCACAACTGGACAACCTATGCATAGAACCCGCCATAAAATATATAGATATAAAATATTGTTGTTAATGCAAAGGAACTAAAATGTCAAGCAGATAAATGCCTCCAAACCACCTGGAAAGTCTATGGCAGTACACTAAATGCATGCATATTTACGGGGATAAAAATGGAATTAACATCCCTAAACGATGTTTCCGCATCATGCTCACGTCGCTTTATGCTTAAATATAATATATGTAGTACAACAGATCATAGATAAAGTTAAATAAATGGGGTCACGCGCACGATTCAGCGCACGCGCGAGCTCAAGTTGACAGTGGAGGACTTAAATATGGCCAAACGCGCTATATCCACATTCCCTTCTGGTGTTAATTACTCTAACCTGCAATTCCCGACCTCACAAAGCTTCTCCAGAACTGCTAAGGTAGGTAGTTAAAACAAACAGTCGTTTTAAACTAAGACATGTCGACGGCTGAATAAAGCTTAGCACATAACGTTACAGCCTCCGAAATAACTTCATCAGCCCCGTCGGGAGTATGACGCCAAAAATGAGACGGAATTGACAGATAACGTCACTAAATGTAATCCTTCAATATGTATTGTCCCGGTGTTCGCGGTCGATTGACTTTTTAGAGCGGTCGGAACTCAATTTATCGCGATTTCCCTCTCTGTTGCTGTCAGTCACCGTTTGCTTACTGTATTCAAGATGGACGCCGGGGTGGATTGTTTTTGTTTTTTCTGTCCTCCGCTGCCTTTACCCGCCCATTTCTTTACGTAAGCGCGGCACCGCATTGATTGACAAGCGTTTTACCCAATCAGAACAACATATGTAAATAATTGAAACCAACCATAGAGCTGGTTACACATAAACCCAGCCCTCTCTATGAGGGGTTTGTGTGTGGCAGTAGAGTGACGTGCGTTCGGAATGTCAACACGTTATTGTGTAATTATGCTGCACTTACATATTGGGTAGACCAGGCTAGTCCAATTACAAAAGTATGTGTTTTCTCTATTAAAGGTTTTATATATTGGTTTTACCCAGATCAACCCCCCACCCCCCCAAAAATTATATTTTTGTAATCAAGTGAACACAATAAACCACACGGCATTCTTTGGTGGATTTTAACAGAAAGGTATTATCCATAAATGTCAAGTTGTGGTAAGCTGTCATTGTTAGCTGTTTATACCATTTATTATTTGAAATAGTTTTTGCCCAAACTGATGGGTTTTTTTTTTGTTTGTTTTTTTGCTTTTGAACATTTATGCTGTGCTATGAATTGTTTCATAGTTGTTATACAGTTTAAATTTAGCTGAAAAGCATATAATCCGGTTGTTAAGTCTGATGTCACACGTCACCAGGTACAAACAAAACCAGATGGTTAAAGCAAAAAACCAATGGTGCTAATATATACTCACTGTGTGCTGTAGTGCTACTGAACAATCACAATCCTAACTTTTATCTCCATACCGAAATCTCAGTTGGCCAGACAGTGATTCATAATTTCTGAATCATTAAAACATTGGTGTCCAGGACACAGTGAGTTCGGAGACTGTAGTTTGTACCGCCAGATTTTAAAATTTTAGCTTAAAATGAATAGTGCTCACTGCTCATAAACGGCTTTTGAGATAGTATTCACACTTGAGACAGCAGAGAAAGAGGACTTGGTAACAGTCGGATAGGTTGTTTTAATGGCATGTTCCACTGTGACAACTTACCCCATAATGTAACAACATGCCCTGCTGTTGATATGTGTTCAATAACAATATCCTTTTCCCCTGGTCAATAACAATGATAATGTTCAAATGCTTTTTTTTTTTTTTTTTCAAGATTTTAAGATATCTGCATATACAGTAATTAATTTTCAGAAATAAGCCTACCTTAGAAATATTTGTAATCCATGAACAGGAATCATGAGAGATAAGCCATTACAGTTTTGTGAAAGACAAAGAGGCAGTGAGTGATGTATTGTTTTATTCTTACTAAAAACCATTAAATGCCTGCATGGTTAATGAGAAATCATTTGCTATTGTTGTTGTCAGCCTTTGATGAAAGAACGACAGCTGGATGTTTCACCTTAATAGCATTGTTATTGATTTGCCTTTAAATAAAATATCATTCATTATTATATTTGCTTCATCAATGTATAAACCCAATTAATTTTTTTAAGTCATTTATAGGTGAGGCGGTTTGACAGGCACTTCTGAATTTATAACAGAGATGAAAGTGCACTGCACTCATACTTGAACTTGCATTATAAAGTGGATTCATCTTGGCATGAGTAGTAATACTAATTTGAACCCCTCTGTGCTATACAGTAAATAATTTTATTATGTTTTTGTACATTTTAAATAACTACTGTGATGTTGTCATGATCAGTAGCAGCTAATTGCCTAATATCATGCAAAAACATTTTTATTCAGACATTTACTCAGACATAAATTCAGGTATAAATACTATAACAAATCATTAGTAGCATAAGATAATTACTAACCAGACCACTTTTAAAATGAAAACCATCATAAATCTACATCACAAGGTCTCCACAGAGGACTGTTCTTAGTGATTTGTGTTCTGCTCTCATTGTAACATAATAGCAACTCCCAACCTGGCCCAATGCAGCCTATGTAATCTGATCCACAAATATTCACACATAATCCTGATGCCCTATTTAACCATAAGCATTTTTTTCCCATTGCTGCAGTGATCTGAACCTTTGTTGAAGTCCTGCAGTTTCCACATTCAGTGTCTGCAATGAAAAAGCTGAAAGTTTTGGAACTGAATGTATGAAAAGAGCACTCTGGAGCATATTTCACAATGAAATGTCAATTTTCCACCAACCAGAGGTGACTTTGGAAATCTCCAAACTAAGCTACTGTGAAGGTCAAAGACATGTGATCAATGACAGTGCCCACCGCACTTTGTCTCCCTCTCCTGATATTTCAAACCCGAGAGAATGCTGAAGAACGCTCTTTTCTACCAACCTCCGCAACCTCTTCTTTTCTTTTTAAAAGTGAACCAATGCTGTTCCAGATGGATGGATGGATGGATGGATAGATAGATGGATATAGATGGATGGATATATAGGATGAATGTATACATATATAGATAAACAGTCAATAATCATAATGCATAATAGCATAATGGCTTACTAAACTAATTTATTATTATTGCATATTAAAGTGAATCTATTTTCACACACTCTCAGAAAAAAAGGTAAAAAAAGTTGTCACTGGGGCGGTACCTTTTCAAAAGACACACCTTTGTACCAAAAGAGTCCATAATGGTACCTTAAAGGTACATATTAGTACCTAAAGTGTACATATTAGTACCTAAAAGGTACACAAGTGTACCTTTTTTTTTGAGAGTGCATCTGTTTTACATTATTGTGAAAAGGCCATGTCAAAAATAATATATTCTACTTTTTACCCCAAAATAACAAATTATAGTTGTAATAATAATAACAATACATTATTATTATTATTATTATTATTATGTGGGGTTTTATTCAGGATAATATATAATTCTTTGGCCATGGTTGAAATTGTTCTTGCAATTGTGAAAAGGCAATTTACAGCATGTTCAAACTACAGAGCACCTTTCCTACCATCTCGCCACATCTGCTCTGTGCTGATCGACAGGAATTACTTCTCAATTGCTCAAGGCCAGAGCAGTGTTGTCAAGCAATTACAAAGAATCCTTGCCATTGTCATTACCAGGAAACCTCGTTGGTCCATATTGTGCAGCTAATGATTTTGGACTTGTGGTTTATAATCTAAAATGGAATTTCTCTTTTGTGGCCTTTGAGGGATTGTCAACTTGACCATGAGAGGCTGTTAAGTGTTTATCTTCTCTCCAGCTCATCGTAATTAAGAGCTAGGAAATCGGAATTTATCTACAGCAGCCATGCGCTCCCACTGAAGGTCATTACAATAACCCATTTAAACGACATTCCCTCACGTGCCATTTTATTGGCCTTGTGACACACAGGAGCCACTTTGCTAAGTCAATCACCCGCACCGCACAATGCTCGAGCGGATACTTAACACATACTTCAACTGACACGTTGTCAGCACAGCGTCTCAGTGACAGCAAGCATGCATTCTCTCTACTGGACCATGAAGAATATTGTGCCATGCCGGAATTCTACAGATGCCTAACATATCTTGTCCTGTAAGTTCATTAACTTTTAATCAAAGTTCTAAACGTGCCAGAGATTATCCTGATAGATTTCAAAGGGAGCATGTGAGATGGCAACGCATCTGTCAGTGCTTGTCATCCCTGTCGAACCGGGCGTCCTTGGGCAGATGGACATGTGGCTCTTCTGTGTGGCTAATTAACATTTCCCTTGGTGCTTTGTCTGCCACTGCTGCACAATAATTATGCACAACCTACGATCAGGTGCGAAATCCCAGTCACAATGGACCTGGGTGTGTGTATTCGTACCAACATCAGGCTAAATCAATGAATTACTGTGTCAAAGATGAAATCAGCCAGATTGGGTGGTTGATGCAAACATAACCCCTGCTTGGAAAATGAGCTCTCAAAAGCTAAGCCACATTCTTACGTCTTATATTACCTCTTCCTGCTCGTGGCTAAGCGCACAGCCTAAGCACGGGCAAATCACATTACATCCTGTTCTCTTAAAGCACATTAATGCTGAGCCTTGACACGTGCAAAGAATACCCCTATTCATTCACCATAACAGCAAATCAAGGCATCATCTTCCAATTCCCTTTCATTTTTTGATGTAATTATTTTATGGCAGCCTTAATGAGGCCCTATCATTTATCTCTGAAAGCTGTAATCAAGTCTCAAATGCTAAATTACAGCTATTTTGCTGACCGGCATTCAGCGATAATATAGAAAACATCTGAAAACAGTCCTGAAATGTATTCTGGGAGAAAAGACTGTACGTATGATGTATGCTTGAGATATCCACGGTGATATGGATTTAACCATGCATATGATACTGTGGTGAATGCATTGTGCACAACAGCGTCAGAGGATAAGACTCTGAAAGCATATATTATGTCCCCACCTCTGTATTATACATCTTAGAAGGAATATGAACTTGCTTTGAAGAACGTCTAGAATTCATTGCATTAAATTAGGCAATGTATCATTTCAGTTTTATACAAATGCACACAAAGTCATCAGTTTACATCAGTTTTAGCTTGTATAAAGTTTTTCTTTTCATTTTTTGTTAAAATTAAACAAATTATGAGAAGCAAAATTTGTAAGAACTCATATCTCGAATTAAGTTTATTCTCAAGTTTAATTCTTAGGTTTTTCCACAAAAGTTTCTTAGGTTTTTGAGCAACCTTTCAATAGGCTTTCATTAGTTAACTACATTAGTTTACATGAGCTAACTATAGAAATACCTCCAAAGCATCTATTAATCCGAGTTAATGTTAATTTCAGCCTGTAGAATACATTATTTAAAATAAAAGTTGTATCTGTTAATATTATTGAATGGACCTGAGCTAATATGAACAGTTATACTAACTAACGTTAACAAAGATAAATACATACTGTAACATGAACTAACATTGAGCAATATGTTTGTTTATTAATGCTAATTATTAAATAAACAAATAATGGGGTGTTGTTTTGGACCCCAGTGACTTTCACTGTATGTATTAAAAACCTGTTGAAACATTCTTCAAAATATCTTCTTTTATGTTCCACAAAATAAAGAAAGTCATAGCCTAC